TGAACAGGGCTGTTGTCAGAAAAACACTTAATACTACTGGCTTAATTTCCTTCAAAATGTAGTTGACAGTCTGAAGAGATTTATAGTGGATCCTCAGTATAATGAGAGCAGGTCGAGTTGTGTTCCTTATGCTTGAATTTAGGTCCCATGTCTTTGTAAAATAAGTTTGGGGTTTCCCAGTAGCAGCTTGGTAGCTCTGGGGAGTAAGACTGGAAAAATTACTATTTGGTAGTTGAAGATTACATTTAATATTGATCCAGAATTAATGGCTAAATGTAACTCTTTCAGGCACCTACCTGAGAAATACTCTGGCTTGGAAGAATCATCCTGGATCGGGGAGTGGCGTTCTTGCTTGGTAAGGCATAGCGAGGTGCTGTGTGGAGTCCTGCTCATTCTGCAGTTCATGTGATGAATTTTTTTTGTTCAACTGCTGAGTGACTCAGAAATGAACTAAATTTCAATTCTGATTAGAACTGGATAAATATATGTGAAAATCAAGCTTATTACAACTGCTAAATTGATTACTGAAACCTAGCTTTTGGCCTTAAGAATCTTCAGTTATTTGACCCTATCTGATAGTCTTTATCACTTCTTTTCTTCTAGTTTGTTGCTTTTGGAAGATGAAATACTGCTCCATTTTCTTGATGTGCAAGGTAAGCTGTTACTTGGTTTGCTGTTCTTGTTTTCTTCAGGTAGCTTTTTTCTGCTTCACAAAATATTTTTGAGAAACAGTATTCCATAGTTGAAGTGTGAACACATTCATGTTTCATAGCTGTGCAATTTCTGTGTGAAGCTTCCAAGGTGTTGACTTCAGTGCAGCATTTCTTATCAGCCTGTCCAAAATTAGAGCCTGTAGCCTCTGCTTGAATGAAAATGAAAACTTTTTGAGTTCTTGAGTACTTGTATATTAAATGCAGTTTTGGTTAGAAGTTATATATAGAAATAATTTGGTTTTACCTCATGTCGAATGCTGCAGGGCAACTTAATCTTATCTGATTAGTTTGGATGCTGCCTAGGACCTCCTCTGCTGAAGATGTTGGAGAAGTACTGTATGTTCAGTCTCCTGGTGGTGCGGCACCCACACTTTCTGTACCAGGCTGTATCGTGCAGCTGCAGCTTCCAGTTGCTTCCCCATGGTAAAAATTTCATCTTAATGCATGTCCCCTGCACAAGCAGGGGGGACAGCAGAAAGAAGTGGTAAGATCACTGGATAGAAAACATCTTTAACATGGGAAGCCCTGAGTTAAAACTAGGCAGGTAATGAAACGTCACAAAAACGTACTTAAGAGGATAGGATCAAGGCATCTTCTTTGGCTGTTGCTGTGGTGAGGGTACTGGACTAGGAAACACCAGTTTGACACAGCATAAATTGTTCTTATGTTAGTGCATCTCGATCCTGAACTCCTTGCCACAGTTACCTTCATGCAAACTATACCTGTCTCTAAAAATAAAAGAAAGTACTGGAAGGTGACAGTTACTAATAGTAAATGTATAATTGACCGAGAAGTAACTTGATTTTTGTGTACTGTTCAAACACTGTTTCAAAAATAGTGAAAAACAAAATGCAAGTTGATGCAGTCAGTCTGTTTCAGCACGTGTTCAGTTTTTGTCTGTTGCTGTAGACAAAAACCTGGAACCTAGTGCTTAGAAAAAACCCTTCTTTTGCAACCCACAGCTGATGAACATATTAGTTGTGTTACTTATATGAAGGGACAGTATTTGCATGTATTCAGAGAGCAATTAATTCAAATATTGATGAATCTAGGGCATGAGTTTCACGTTCCAAATTTGCAGGAGTGTAGTTGAATTAAACAGATTTCTTTCCAGGCTTTGTAGATGAACTCCCCAGCTCTGCTGTAACTTTTTTGGTGTGCTTGAATTCTTACGGCTGTTTGCTGGCCTTCTGATGTAGAAATCTACTACTATGGTGGACTTTGTGGATTGCATCAGAAAAAGGTGAGCTTTGTGTTCCTTCTGAATGTCAACATAAGAGTGTTAGATTTCTTCAGACAAGTACTATTTCTGCAGCAAATAATCAGACTACTTCGTGCACTGTATGGTATCTGCACCCAGCAGTGTCTTCCTGTTGGGGTGTTCAAAAAGCAGTGCTACAGTATTTCAGCAGCTGGCATCGTTGGTTTTCATGCACATGTGCTGGTTAAACTTGGTATTTCTGTTGAAACAAGTAAATTAAAAATTCCTTATTGGGAAGCTTGTAAAGTATGACACTGAAGAACTGTTGAACTGTGATGAGATAAAAGTATAGTTAAATCAGTGACTTTGTTCCAAAATTATTTTTCTTAAAGGGGCGTTCCTGTGATGTCTGAAACACAGTGGAAAGCCTCTACTTAAGGGTAAGTATTGAGGAAATAGTTGTGTTTTCCTAGGTGGAGGTAGTTGGTGAGGATCACAAAAGCTCAAATCTTAGCTTTTTGGTTGCCTTTTTACAAAAAGCAGTCTTTTATTTAGAAACACCAATCCAGGTACCAGATGGCAGCTAGTGATATGCTTCTTTTAAAGTTAACTGGCTAGGCTTCAAAAACAAAAGCTGTTCTGCAGACATTGGGAAGAATTAATTGTTATGCCTCGTTATTCAGCAAATAGACACAGCTCACTGTGTGTCTGAAGTGAAAAACGTGGCTAGAAGAGTCACAGGTTATGCTTTCCTCACTGTAAAGTTAATTGCAGTGGTGACAATGAGACCTGTAACAGGTTTACATAGTGCAAAAATTATGCAAATGTAATTTAAAGTGTAGCTATTGTAAAATCCCAAGGATTAGCTTGTTTTGATGCTTTTGATTTCTGCATTGGGCCTACCTAAAGGAAGTAGAATTAGCAGTGCTGCATTCTTGTAGATGGCTTATTAGAGTGTATTTGTGAGGTGTCCTAAAATGGTGTCATATGTTTTATTTACATCACAGTACCAGCTGTTAGGTAACTCCCTTAGTTTTACCTTCTGTGCCATAGTGCTCAGATTTCTTAAATTGCAGATAGATTTTGTTGACAGTTATGTGATAGACTGGGCCATGCCTCTGATTTAAAAAGAAATGCCTTGTTTTGGTCTTAGCATTTAGACAGTGTAACTGGACTCCAGTCTGCTTGCTTCATATTGAGTATGAAAGTACCTTAGTCTTACTAAAATTAATAGAAGCTGAAGAAACTTGGAACTATTCCTCACATGCAATGATTTACTTCTCTTTAGGCAGCCCACCTGACAGTCCAGTCTGAACTAGCATCTTGGTAAGTCAGTGTGACAGGTTGGTTTTTTACCCTTGCCTGTTGCAGGTTAGCTGTCTGTCTTTTAAGTTGCTGACCTGGTTAGATTGCTGTGCTTCTTACTGAGAAGATGCAGTTAGAAAACAAAAAAGCTTATCTTCCTCAAAATGTGAAGATGCAGTGTAAAAAGGTTGTTGTGATGATTGGCAAAATGTTCAACTGCTCTGAAGAGAGTGAGTGAGAATGGCCTTTCTGAACAAATCTGTTGCATGAGTATTGATTTCATGTCATTTTATTCTGAGCATCTGTTCTTGAGTATTAAACACGCAGTGTTTTGTGTCAGCAAAGATCATGACACTGACATTTAAAGAAAAGAATAATCAGGAAATTAAGAAGAGCTGTTAAACAGGATAACATTAAGACATAGTAGCTTTAAGTGTGGTTCCAAGGAGAGAGGCTATGAGAAATGGCTGTGGTTGTTAGAAACCACTTAAATACTAATACATGTCAGTCTGTAACCTTACCTTGGCTTTTTCAGGTGGTATGTAATTAGAGAAAATGAGAGAAGAAATGCAGGATGCCATTGCACAGAGATCTGAAGGCTCTTTGAGGTTAGTGCACATCTGAGGCTCTGCATAT